ATATACAACTGCTGTGACTAATTTTATTCATTTATCACATTGAAAAGTGATTTTTATCACTGCGATCAGACAGGAAATAAACAATGTTTTTATTGAAACAGATATATTTATTTTGTTAACGTTGACTTTAGTGTGGTAAATATGTTTTTATTTTATTTGTTGAAACTTGAGACAATTTGTTGGTTAAATCAGTAAATCATCAGACAACGCTCTGCAGCAGTTGTCCTCTGATCAGGATGGATCTAAAGCTTTACAATCCACTGACAGAAATAAAACGTTAAGACCTGCAAAAATAAAAACAGTCTCATGGTCTTATAATAAATATGCAAAACCTCATGTTCTTGGTAAACAACTGTTTTTTTGTTTGTTTGGTTTGTTTCTAGTTCAGGCAGAAACTGAAGCGACGCCTCGACCTCCTCTGCTGCTGCTCTGTTTGTGGATTCTTTGTTTCCTTCTGACCGGGAGCATGATCATCATCATCCTCAGTGAGTTTAATAAGATAGGACGATTTATATGTTAAATTAAAAATAATTAAAATTATTTATTTAGTATGAGTTTTATTTATCAAACCTAAAGGTTTTTCCTCCACAGAACAACAAACTGAATCCATCTTTCTGTAAAAACTTCTTGATTTAATTAAATGTTCAGATGTTTGTAAAATCCAAAACTTTCTGCTGTTTGAAACGTTGAACCTAAACTGATAAACTTGTGTTTATTTGTAGTCAGCGTGTCCCTCACAGACCAGACTGCAGAGAACCAGCACCTGCTTGCTGACAGGAGAACCCTGCAGAACCAGAGCGAGGGGCTGAGGGGAGAGCGAGACCACCTGAACCAGACTCTGAGGGTCATCCTGACCTTCGACAACTTCCCGGTTCAGAAGTTCTGCCCTGAAAAACGTGAGTTTTTAACCAAGTTTTCACTTTAAACACCTGCAGACAGCTTGTGAAGTATCCTTTAAGTTTACTCATTTAAAACTAAAATATAAGATCAAGTTCAAGTTTATTTATACAGCACCAAGTCACAACATACGTTGTCTCAGGGCACTGTACATAAAAAGAAGAGTATACCTCAGGTTTACTTACAGCTGCTTTACCAAGTTTATCTGACACTATACTTGACTTAGTTTAAGTAGATTTAGTCTATACTTTGGCCAAGATAAACTTTAGTAGTACACTGAAAGTACATTTCACACAGACTGGTTTATTTGTAGTATATTTCAAGATTAAACTAAAAGTATACTTAGAGGAATACTTCCAGTATACTTTTGAGTATACTTTCAAAAACTTGTGGGCCAATTTAGTCCTAGAAGTACTTGTTAGTAAACTGCAAGTGTGTATTTATATCAGTGTACATGGTAAATAAAAGTGTACTTTTATGTACTTTATTATACTTAATGACATGTACTGAAAGTATACTTCTTGGTAAGTTTATAAACTTAAAAAGTCACAACAGAATACTTAAAGTATATTTTTTATAAATTAAAAAATGTCACAATTTAGTACAAATGAATATTAAATTTGTATACTTTCTAGTACACTGCAAGTACATGGTGCCTACTTAATAATAATAATAATAATAATAATAATAATAATAATAATAATAATAATAATAATAATAATAATAATAATAATAATAATAATAATAATAATAATAATAATAATAATAATAATAACAATAATACATTTTATTTGAAGGCGCCTTTCATAGCACTCAAGGACACTGTACAATGTAAATACAATAAAATTAATAAACAATAAGACATCATAGTTTACATAATCGTCATGAGCGTCTTTGAGGGTCTCGAAAATATAAGCTATATAAGACTAATGTGGTTGAGTGAGTTGGATGGAGGAGGAGGACCTGAGTGTGTAGGAAGGTGTGTTAATGTGGAGAAGTTCTGAGTTACTGAGGGGCAAGATTAATGAGGGCTTTGAAGGTGAGGAGCAAGATTTTATAGGAAATACTAAATTTGATGTGGAGCCAGTGAAGATGCTTTAGGACAGGTGTTGGATGACTGGTGGAAGGGGTTCTGGAGATGATACGAGCAGCTGAGTTTTGGACCAGTTGTAGCTTATGGATGGATTTTGCTGGTAAACCGAAAAGTAGGGAGTTGCAATAATCAAGCCGAGATGTGACCAAAGTGTGAACTAGAATAGCAGTACTGCTGGGTGAGAGGGATGGACGGAGATGAGCAATGTTACAGAGGTGAAAGTAGGCTGAACGAGTAACGTTACTGATGTGAGATTTAAATGATAATGTGTTATCTAGGATGACACCCAGACTCATAACCTGAGGGACGGGGGATGTTGAGGTGCTCTCAATGAGAATAGAAAAGTTGTTGGTTTTTGCAAGGGTGGATTTAGTTCCAAAGAGAAGAAATTCTGTTTTGTCACTGTTTAGTTTAAGAAAGTTGCTTGTGAACCAGAACCTGATATCAAATAGGCAGTCAGACAGTGAGGTGGGTGGGAGGGTGGCACTGGGTTTGGTGGACAGATAGAGTTGGGTGTCATCCGCATAACAGTGGAATTGGATACTCTGTTTACGGAAAAGATTTCCAAGCGGAAGGAGGTAAATGATAAAAAGAAGAGGGCCGAGAACAGAACCTTGTGGAACACCAGTGGGGCGGCTGTGGCGGAGTGGTTAGGGTAGTCGTCCTGGAACCGGAAGGTCACTGGTTTGATCCCCCGTCCAGCCGTCTCAGTTGTTGTGTCCTTGGGCAAGACACTTCACCCGCCTTGCCTACTGATGGTGGTCAGAGGGTCCGGTGGCGCCGATGCATGGCAGCCCCACCTCTGTCAGTGTGCCCCAGGGCAGCTGTGGCTACAGTGTAGTTTACCATCATCAGTGTGTGAATGTGAGTGTGAATGGGTGAATGTCTGTTAGTGTAAAGTGCTTTGGGGTCTGGAGTGACTTGAAAAGTGCTCTATAAGTTCTGTACCATTTACCATAACACCAGAACAGAGAGGGGTTAAATGGAATGAAAAAGATTTTAGTTGAACAAACTGTGTACAAACAGAAAGGTATGAAATAAACCATTTAAGGGGTGTGTCTGAAATACCAATACGTGATGGACTATCAATGAGGATGGTGTGTGAAATGATGTCAAAGGCTGCACTTAAATCAAGGAGGATGAAAATGGAGAGGAGCCCAGAGTCTGCAGCTGTGAGGAGGTCATTTGTGATTTTTAGAAGAGCTGTTTCTGTACTGTGCATTGAGCGGAAACCAAATTGAACCAGATCTACTTGATTCTTATACTCAAGTATACTTATTAAAATGAACTTCACGTGTATTATTTTTGCTAAGGGTCACTTCCTGATCAGGAGCTTTATTTAGAGAAGAAAACAGAAGAGTTCATCAAACCTTCTTCCCTCGGGTCGGGTCCAGGATCCAACAGGTCCAGGAGAGAAACCAGACCTCCCTCTCCTCTCCAGCTCCTCCCGAGGGGTCCCCTAAGTGTTCCAGACCAGAGAGGGGTCTATAATCCCTGCAGAGGGGGTCCACCAATGGGACATGACTGAAAACTGTGACGATCAAAGTAAAACCTGATGAAACCCGATCAGTTTTTACAGAAATGAGTTTGAAACACATAAATGTCTGTTTTAATCAGGATTTGATGAGTTTTTGGACTCAGGAGCCTGAACACCTGGACCTGAGCAAACTGCAGAACTGGTTGTTTTCCTTTGTGTCCTGACTGCAGAGTGTGGGCCGTGTCGGGCCGACTGGGTTCTGTTCCAGGGGAAATGTTACCTCTTCTATAATAAGAACTCTCCCTGGAAGAGCTGGGAGGACAGTCGGAGGTTCTGTCAGGACGGATCCGCAGATCTGGTTGTCGTTGACGACCTGAGAGAGCAGGTAAAGTCCCAACAGGACGGGTCCAATGGGCCTTCAGAACCGATGTCCTGAAAGTGACGCTTCGTTTGTCTCACAGGAATTCATCAGTGAAAACACAAAGTTCTACTACGATGAGTTTCATGGGTTCTGGTTGGGTCTACAGAGGACCAGAACCGGCTGGGTCTGGGTCGATGGAAGGAACGACACTCTGGGGTAAAAATGTGAAAATATTTAAAAACTTCGGTCTGAGAAGTTTTCACAGAATAAAAGAACTTGTTTTAATTTGTGCAGGATGTTTTTATTAAAAAATAAAATCTTTGAGCAGATTCAGAGAGTTTTGGCTGAATGTTTAATATTTTATTAATTATAAAAGAATCAAAGAGAATCAGGTTAAAGTTTGTGAACTGAGGAGGAAATGATGTTTAGTTTTCAATTTGTAAATCAGCAGCTTGATGAGGATTTTACTGATCTAACTGTTTTCCCTGAAGGTTCTGGGGGTCGGAGTCCGCCGCTGATCAGGAACTAAAAGTTCTGCTGATTCCTGGACAGAACTCCACAAAGAACTGGAACCCGAGAAAAAACGAGTTTCAGAACAAATTCATCTGTGAGCACGAAGCTCTGCGGTGGTAAATGAATAAATGTCATTATTTGTGTTGAATTTACCTTTAAATGAGATCCAGGTTGTGTTTTTTAGTTGATTTAAATGAGTTTATTTTGTTTCTTAATAAAAACCTGGTACTGATCTGTGTGTTCAGGAGGCTGGAGGTTTAAAAGCAGAGAAATGAGGTAATTTAACGTTACGACAATAATTGTGTCATGAGTTGGAAGCTGCTGAAACAAACTGTCGGGACATGATGACCTTTGAACTTCCTGTTAAAACTCCATTGTTTCTCTATGTCTGAGTCACCGCTCTGTTACAAAACGATTTAAACTTTAGCAGGTTAGGGTTAGAGGGAATAAAACTCCAGATGATTTTAGGTTATAAAGGAATTTACTGAAACACGTCAGAAATAAACTAATCTTAACCAAAACATTTCTCTTTTTTTCTCCTTTAATACAGAAACATTCTGATCATTGGTCTGATAAAACATTTAACGTTACAAGAAATTTTTAAACTGATAAAAACACATTAAAACTTTATTTTAAATATGCAGTAAATATATTTTTGTTCTTTGGTATTATTGAAAAATAGAAAGCTTAAAAGACTGCAGCATGCTTTTTATGCGTTTTAAATTATGACTCAGGTTAATTCATCCTGTCATACAGTCATGTGTCCACCAGAGGGCGACTGTTCTGCAGGTCTTAATTGACAGAGAATTTGTTGATATTTTCTACANGAAGCAATATGAAAACATCTATTTAGTTTTTACAAAACAAATGTCTATTTTTATAATGATCTCAAAAACATGATGTTGAATAAAATTCTGGCCTATTAGCGTGCGAAAACTCAACAGCAGCGACACCATTAGTTTAGTCACAGTTTGTGTCCGACCCTTCATTACGCTGCACATCTCACTTTTTTATATTCACACTTGTGCAGGACAAACTGTTCAAACAAGGATAGATAGAGGATTAAATGTTGCCTGAAATCCAGACAAACATTTCTAAATYTACCATTAGAAGCATATTCACTGAAAAAGAGGAAAAATAAACCCCTACAACTAAAAGAAAGAAAGAAAGGAATAAAAAAAAACAACTTGGGAGGCTTCTTGCTTTTTAATTCCGTTACTGAAAGGGATTCACGCAGCGAAAGCGAAGCCAGAAGTGACATTTTGAAAAGTTTTCAGTAGGATTCCTGCACAGTCTYGCTTTCATATGTGAGTTTAGTTTCGCAGTGAGAGCTCAAACGAAGCAGCGGGGGGTATCTTACTTCCACCCTCTGCTTCGGAGGTTTTTCTTAATTTATTTATTTTTTATTCTCCCCAGTTTTAAAATTAAATCTTTCATCAGAAAAAAATATTTTTTTATTTTCTACAGCTAAATTAAGACCCAGCTGCTACTAATCATAAACCATTCAAGCCAAAGTACTGCAGAGCCATCAGCAATAACTTATTTTGTGTGTTTGTTTTTTTGTTGTGTGTGTATGTGTGTGTGTGTGTGGGCGGGGGGGTTGTTGAGCAAAAAAGATTTACGGTAATAAAGATCAATTTGACTCAATTTTTTTGCCTTTTTTTCATTTCCGCACAGGAAACCAGGAAGAAAAACTAAACCAARCACTGAACAACTATTGCAGCATGAATATTTGTTTTTACAACATCAATATTGAAAATGTTGGGATAATTTGTATAATGTGTGTTAAGACTGAAAGCCATGATCTGAGCAAATCTCATAAACCCATAMGTTATTCATTATAGAACACAGTAAGCACATCAAATGTTGAAACTAAGAAATTATACTTTTTTAGGGGTGGGGGGGGGGGGGGGGTAATTCTGACTTTCATAGCAGCCTCA